TGCAGTTGGGTGTAGAGAGGGCATGCAGTGGTCAGAGCACAAAGCCTACTCCAACACTAACTAGCTTTGTCCCACCAGGTAAGTTATTCCCAAGACCAAATCAGATCTCTCAACGACCACATGGAGGTGATGGATCCATAAAGGTGAGACAATAATGGTACCTGCCTGTAATTGTTTATTTTACATGTCAAGTTGGTTGGGCCACGGTGCCCAGACGTGAGGTCAAAGATTATTCTGGATGTTTCTATGAGGGTGTTTTTAGATTAAATTAACATTTCAATCAGTGGACTTTGAGTAAAGCAGATTGCCCTCCATAATGTGGGTGGGCCTCATCTAATAAGTTGAAGGCCTCAATAGAATAAAAGACTGACTGCCCCTGGGCAAGAGGGTGTGTGCAGCAGATGCCTCCAGGCTTGAACTGCTACATTGGCTCTTCCCTGGGTCTCCAGCCTGCTGGCCCGTCCTGCAGATTGTGGACTTGTGAGCCTCCACAATCACATGAGTGAATTCCTTAAAATAAATCATATATATATATATATATATATATATATATATATACACACATCCTATTGGAGAACGCTGACAAATATACTGCCTTTACAGGGGTGAGTTGTACAAAGGGCTTGGTTCAGCACCTAGCATGGACAGTGCTCTCAATACACATGAACTATATTATAACCGAGAGCACAGCTTTGGAGTCCTACGGCCACAAATCTATTCTGGCTCTGTCATGTCCTGTCATCCACCACCTTCTCTGAGCTTTGGTTTGCTCACCTATGAAACTGAGAAATGGAATATTACGTGCCATGTCAGTAAACAAAGGATGCACAGTCATCAGTGATTGTAGCCACGGCCATGGCGATCCGGTGAGCCCTGAGGGAACTCAAGAAGGAAAAGAATACCTGCTATCTAGCAGCCATCAGACTGCAGCCACTCCCCCTCGGTGAGCCGCGAGGAAACTCAGGATATGAAAACACAGGATACTAGCCCCAGATAGGTGAGGTGCATATCTAAGGAATAATTTCAGTAAGCCCAGACTCTTGCATCTTCCCATATATAGAAAAGCACTAAATTCCTTGAGAGGTCTGGTTTTCTTTAATTAACAATAATCTTTTGACGTTCAGACTACCTACCCTTTGTTGCAAAATTCCGATATATCCTAGCTTCCCACCGTTGCCTCCTTGGAGCAGTTCTCAGGGCTACTTGAGATGCTCCCTCCCCGGCTTGAAGTCCTAAAAATTCCCACCGAATAAAACATAACTCTCAGTTTTTAGGTTGTGCAGTTTTTTTCAGTCGACAAAATGAGGATGATAGCAGCTCTCCACCTGAGCTGTGAGTATGCTTAAGTAGAGCTCAGGTTTTTAGAGTTTCTAGTACTGTGCCTGGAATTCATTTGTTTGCTCGTTCACCCCACATGCATACTGGTTGTGCCACTACTGTTCAAACGCTGGAGACACAAAGGGTCTGAGTTCCTGCCCTCGGGGAGCTCATGTTCTAGTCCAGAAAAGGTAGACAATAAACATGTAAACAAACAGGTGGGATAACTTCACACCATGGTACATGCTGTGCAAACATAATACAGGATGGCATGATAAGAGTGGCTCTGAGGAGGTGACACTCGAGACCCAAATGACACTAGTGGAGATCTGGGAGAGGGGGATGTTCGGGGCGCAGAGGAGGCCCTCAGCTGGTGTGCAGCATTACCATTGTTGTTAACGATAACTTGAGATGCTACAGCAACAGAGAGCACTAAATCATCGCCTGCTGCTTGTGCAATGTCATTTCTCAAAGGCGTTTCCCCAGTTGAGCTGTGGCTCCTGGTCAGTATATTTCCTTGGATTTGACCACAGATGTCCCTAACGTCCCCATGTCCCCAGTGTTTCACGGGAACTTTATATCCAGGACATGACTGTTTCAACTGCCAATACTTGAAAACTCTTCTTCTTCCCCCAAATCATGTTCTTTTCAAAACTCTAGGTTGCAGTCCGCAGAAAGGATGGTTAATTGGCACCCAGCAAGCCTTGGGGCCCCTCCCTTGCTCACTCATTCATTCAGTAAATGACCACCGGCCCCTACACTCTGCAGGGTGTCTTCCGAGCAAAGGGCTGAGCCTGCTGACTTGAAGTGGACCGAAGGATTAAAAAAGACTTATTAAGAGGGAATTCATCTATCAGAACATATTATAACAAGGGTCTGGTGCTGTTTCCACAACTTGGGGTACCACCTCCCTAGAATTCTGGGAGAAACACAGTGTGCCTTTGGTGGGGGCCCAGTTGGATCCAGGGCCTTTAGTTGTGTCCCTGGTAGGATGCTCCTGGGAATGGCGATTGGAGACTGTGATGACCGTAATTCCAACCCCACACAAGTCTCAGCTGAGTCTGTGGCCAGGCTGGGGAGGTGCTGGTGTTAGATTGTTTCGTGTCCTCTGAGCCCTCGGCCCCCTATTCCATGGTCTTTTCTATCTCCCCTATGATGGCCCAACATCAGTGCAGTTCTCTCTCCTGATTGAAAACTGTCTCCAGGAACCTTCATTCACAATAAGGTACAAATGATGGCTGGAACCTTTCGACAGGAATTCGAGCAGCACCTAATGGTTCGTGATGACCATTTTGTTTGCCTATATTGTTTCCTCAATGGAAGCGTTACCTGAACTGAGGGTGGGGCCCACGGAGGTTGCCATGGAGTCTGGGAAGATGCTGGCCCACTTCTCCCTTTGCCCAGCGACTCTGAGAAGACAGCCCCTCTGAGCCAGGGGTCTCCTCCACTGGAGCCAGCAATGCTGGGCGCTAGAAAGGTGACCGGGAGTCTCCTCGAGGGTGAAGAGGAGAAAGAAGAGTAGAGACAGAGAGTGGAAGAGGAGGAAAGGAGAGAAGGGGAGAGGGAAGAAAGGAGGTGGGAGAAGGAGGCAGGATTCAGCTCAAAACGACCCAATCAGAGGCCCCTGAGTGACGGCCGATTTTATGCATCAGTTTGACTGGGTCATAGGGTGCCCAGTTATTTGGTTAAACATTCTTTCTGGGTGTGTCTGTGAGGGTGTTTCTGGATGAGATTAGGATTTGAATCTGTAGACTGAGTAAAGCAGATCCCCCTCCCCAAAGTGGGTGGGCAGCACCGAATCCATTGGGACCTGAATAGAACAAAAAGGCGGAGAAAGGAGGAATTTCTCTCTCTCTCTCTCTCCCCTGTCTCTCTCTCTCTCTCTCTCTCTCTCTCTCCATCTCCATCTCCCTCTCCATCTCTCCCTCCCTCTCCCTCCCTGCTCCCTCTCCCTCTGCCTGACTACTTGAGCTGAGTTTTCTCCTGCCCTCAAACTAGAACTTAACCATTGCCTCTCCTGGCTATCAGGCCTTTGGACTCAGACCAGGACTGCACCACCAGCATTCCTTGGGTCTCCAGCTGGCTGGCTGCAGGCTGTGGGGCTTCTCAGTTCCCATAACTGCCTGAGCCAATTCCTTGTAATGCAGCTAGATGGATAGACAGACAGAGCTCCTATTGATTCTGATTCTCTAGAGAGCCCTGCCTAATACACCCATCCATCCACCCTTGACCGGTTCCTCCCACTTACTCTCTGTCACAAGACCTCATTTCTTTCCTTCATGGTGCTTATCACTACCTGCAATTATACTTTTGTTTACTTGTTTGTTTTATATTCTACCCATAAGATTATTGAGGCCCAAGAGAGCCGGGGCCCCACCTTCCTTCTGGAAGGTGTATCCACAATTCCTGGACCAGGGCACTTAGCAAGCACTCAGTAATTCTTTGTGGAGGCAAAGATGCAAGAGAGCAATGAGGAAGAAACATAAGGAATATATTATGGGAAACAATGGAAAGATGCTTCCCCAAATATCCCAGGAGCTTCTCACCAGCCCCTCGTCTAAGTGTCAGTCCCCAGCAAGGTCCGACGCTGCCGATACCCATCATCTTGCATCAACCTGCTGGGTGCATGGCATTGTTTCATACTGTCTCTGAACCAAAGTGCTGCAGTCCACATCCTGGAAAACACTGCCTGTCACAGCCTATGCTCCAAAGAATGTCACACACACCCTAAGGCCACTGATGGAGGTTCTACAGAAGCCAAGTCCCAGTTTTTTTTTTTTTTTTTAACATTTTATTGGTCCGATATAACCTGCTTTTTGGAATCCTGGCCTCCAGGAAAGTTTATCACAAGTTCTGGAGATGACAAGTCTGGAACGGTGCCAGCACAGAGAATGAACAGGCGTTATTCAGTTGAGGCGGGACTCAAGGCTGAAGGAGGTGGCGGGGCAAGATGGAAACAACTTGGCTGTGCTTCAGAGGGAAGAGTGACTCTCAGCAGAGGCCACCACAATTGTACAGAAACGACTGTTCTTCCCTTACCAGTGGCTACCTCTTAGGATAAGGATCAGGGTTTGAGTTCTGTCAACAAATGTTTTTCTGACCTGCTCACCAAAATATAACAACAAACACCCTTTGGCCAGGTCTTAGCTTTTTCCTCGGTGCCATTTTAACCAGATGTGGGGCTGTCCTCTGCGTAACACCCTAAGGTGGCCGAAGCCTATTCCAGAAGGGGCAGAAGTCCCACTCCCATGGAGATGGACCTGAACTCCAATCCCCACTGTCTAGGCTGCCGCCTCTCAGGAGGAAGGAGAAGCTGCCTGGTTCTGCGGTCCAGGTCAGAGAAATGGACGGCACAAAGTCATCTTTGCAGGTGAGAGCTGCCAGTCTTCACATCCCCTGTGCTGTTTTCAGCTGTCACCTCTGAAACCTGACTCGGTCATCTTCTCCCCACACGCACCTCAAGCCGAGAGGCAGGCTCTCCTCGGGGAATCCTTCCTGGGCTCCTTCGCTCTGCGGATTCTAAACTCTGAGATCAGAGGTCTCAGCGGGTGCGCCCAGGGGGCAAGGCTCAGAGCAGGCGCTGCTCTGGTCACTGATGGTCAATTCTTCTCCGTTTTCAGCATTTCCCTCGGAGGAGAGCCACCTGCTGGGGGTCTGGAGAGCGAGGAGGGGGCGCAGGCGGTTCAGTCGTCCTCATCCTCATCTTCGTCCTCAGTGTCTTTGTTGGGGGCGCACCTCTGGAAGCACTGCACCACGGTGGCCAGAAAAAAGCTGGAGATGATGGCGGCGATGGACACAGCCACGCCAGAGAAGGTGATGATGAACAGGTCTGTGAGCGAGAGGCTGAACTTGCACTCGCTGAAGCTGGCCTCCGACAGCTCTTGCAGGAATATCCTCCTGTTCTCCATGGGCAGGGAGCATTGGATTGCGTCAAGGCCTGTGAGAAAGGCAGGCAGAACGAGAGAGAGGTTTAGGCTGCAGCCCAGGATTGCCTACAAGTTAGCAAGGTGAGTGCTTACCAGGTGCAAAGCAGGCGCGTGCCCCCAAACACAAAAGGGGGAAAAAGTTGACTTGAATGCAATTTAAACGTTTTCAAAAAGCCTCAGGGGAATCACATGGAAGAAACCAGAATGTGCTGGTCTCCCTTACTTTAAGGTGTGGCACTCTTGATTTTGAATCACTCAAGGTGGTGATGGAAGGGAGCATAATCTTTTTAGGGTTTAGAAGCTCTGTAGACCGTAATCCAGATCTGGTAATACCCAGCGCCCTCGGGGCAGAGGGCAGGGCAAGGCTGTGGGATGCGGAGGGGCGGTGCCAACCAATGGCAGCACCCTCCAGTTTGTAAGGCAGCTTCCCAAGAAGAATGCCAGCCTCCTTTCCACTGCCACCCAGGAGAAACTGAACAGAGGATCAGTGTAGTGCTGTAGAAACTCCACTCACTACCCTAGAAGGGTTTCTCCTTGGCAGGAGTGGGAAAAATAAATATGTGGTTATGATGCTTGCATGAGCTCCTCTGTGCTTCAGAATCACCTGAAGACTATACCGAAATCCAGATTCCCAGGCTCCGCCCCCTGGAGAATCCAATTCAGCAGGCTGCACTGGGACCCCAGCCTCTGCATTTTTAAAATCCAGGTGATTCTGATGCCGCTGGTCCACGAAGCACACGTGAGAAACATTATCATCTAGTTGGTGAGAGAGACTGAGGGGTTTGAGAGAGAGTTCCTGGGACACCCACCCCGCTACAACCAGAAGAGCCCTTGTAAACTCTGCTTTATATATTGGGGTTCCCTTTAAGATCTCACGTGAAAAGTGTCTGGCTAATTTAAAAAGAAGTTTCAAATCCACAGGTCAAAAAAAATGTTACACCTGGGTATGTGCTGAGACAGGGCTTCATAGCAACAGCAATAAATGCAATTAGAGCTTACCATGGGCCAGGCATTGTTCTAAGCACTTCGCACATAATAAATAGTTTAATCCTCACAACTCTGTGAGATGGGTCCTGCCATCATCCCCATTTTACAGATGAGGAAACAGGCTCAGAGAGGTAAAGTAACTTGTCCAAAGTGGCACAGCTAGTAAGTGGCCTAGCTTGGACTCTAACTCAAACCATTGCCTCCAGAGGCCTGGCCTGCAGCCACTGTGCCTCCAAAAGGAACAGAAAGCAGGTGTGGGGCTGGAGAGGAAAGCCAGGAAGAGAGGGACCAGGGGCACAGGAAGCCAACACTGTCTTCTCATGGCTGCCACCAAGAGGAGTGGTGGTGACAGCAGTTGTCGGTCACCTGGGGGTGAGGGACATGTTCCTAGTGTAATGGATTTATGGCATTTTAGAGATACCGCTGTATGACTGCTCCTCTATCAGTTAGCGGTTCCTCTCGGGGTACCCCATCTGCCATCAAGTGAAATGGGAGGGCAGCTACGAGAATTGCAGGCCGGTGAATTTTACCCCTTCTACTTACTCGTAGGAGCCTAAAGCTGAGGCTTGCCTGGGACAAAGGACCATCTGTAGATAGGGTGTCAACTAAGGTCTAAAGGATGAGGTGGAAGCAGTTATGGAAGAACAGTCCGGGTAGAGAAGAAGGAAGCTGGCAAAGAACTTGGAGTTCGGGGAACCGTGCAGCTGGGGCATCAGAGTGAGTTCATTCAGCATGAGCTGGGGCGGGAGAGATGGGCATGTGCTGAGATGAAGCCCCTGAGAACCAGGGTCTTCAAATAAATACTATGAAGAAAGGCCCACCTCCACCCCCAATCCTGTTATGGACTGGATTGTATCTCCCCCCACCCCAAATTCATATGTTGAAGCCCTAACCTCCAATGTGACTATATTTGGACATAGGGTCTCTAGGGAGGTAATTAAGGTTAAATGGGGTCATAAGGGTGGGGCCCTGATCAATAGGATTGGTGTCTTTATAAGAAGAGGAAGAGATAACAGAGAGCTCTCTCTTTCTCTCTGTGTGTGCACAGAGGAAAGGCCATGTGAAGAAAGAGCGAGAAGGTGGCCATCTGCAAGCCAGGAAAACAGGCCTCAGCAGAAACCAAGCCTGCACACACCTTGATCTTGGACTTCTAGCCTCTGGAACTGTGATAAAATAAATTTCTGTTGTTTAAGCCACCCAATCTGTGGTATTTTGTTATGGCAACCCTAGTAGACTAAAAACAATCCTCACTGGACAAGAACAAAAGATACAGACTTGTGTTAGTATTAAGCTCTAAAGACTGTTCGTTATCAAGCATAATCTGTGCATCCTGATGGATATACAATATGAACTACATACAAAGTCAAGTTACTGTCATAATTCCACAAACTTCGAATATAAGAAAATGCATGATATTAAAATGCATAAAAAGGTCAGACCTGTCTTTGATCTGGAAGAGGAGAGGAAAATAAAGTAATAGTACCTAATATTCATATTGCACTTACTACATGCAAACACTGTTCTAAGTTCTATATGCATATTAACTCTTAATTCTCACAACAACTATTATCACACCCATTTTATGAATGAGAAAACTGAAGCACAGAGAATTTACACACCTTGCCTTCAGCAACACAGCTTCACAGGGATGTGAAGACACCGTTTTGACATTAAGCTCACCTGCCTGCAATTTGTGTTTATCTTTGGCATCCTTTCAGTCCTCAGGAAACCTTCAATTATTCTCTTTTTCAGTGCTTCCTGGTTTCAGAAAGCTGCCTTCCACCCATATCTAGCATAATATGAAAGTCAGAATGATTCCTCACACCTCACTAATTAGCTGGTTTCTGTTCTGCAAAGAGCAGCCCTGCTAATTGCACAGCAATCCTGCCACCACCCTTTGGGTCTTTATTGTGTATCTTTCCTTCTAGCTCAGAAACAGAAGGTGGAGGAAGAATGACTGAGCTTCCTCCTTCCTTCTGTCCTGACCCATCTTTTATGCAGTCTATAGCCAACCCACTGATGCTCTTCTCCCCATGGGAACTGTTGCTCAGCAACCATACTCATGTTCCCTCCTCTCCCTGAATGGATGCCTACCTTAGATATCCAAGGAATTAGCTGGACCAAAGCTCTGCAGGTTTCTCCAGTTTACACTTGACTATGTTTTTGACTATTTCTTTTCTTAAGCCAAGCTTTTGTTTACTTCTGAGCATTTTAAATGCATTTGAACAGGCGAGCTTTATGAAGAGTTATTGTGGGGTTCCCTTGCAGACATTATTTTTTTCAATGGAAAAGCAGGAAAATCAATTGACCTGCCTCTTCTTAACATCCACCCCACCCCTCCCCGCCAGCCAAAGATGTTACAAAAATAAAAAAGATGGACACCGATGGACACCATTGGACTACGTGAAGCTCAGGCAGTTTCTAAAATGAAGATAATATTTGCCATTTTCAAACCCGTAACAGGTCATTATTAAAGAGAGAAAAGGTCTAGAAGTCATTTTTTCAATGAGCTGTATTAACTGGCAAACACCACCCCAACAAAACAACACAAGCCCACAGAGCCTGCCATTTGAATCCAACCTTTGCTGGCCATGACTCCTCAAGTCGATTCTGATTTCTATGGTGTTCTTTGTGCCTTGAGATTACGCCTGGCATTTTTACAAAGCGACACTTTTACAAACTGTCATATCACATTTCTCTGTGGCTAGAGGAAGCAGGCTTGCTTGAAAAACCCCACACACAAGCCCACCAGGAGTGGGAGGCTCTGGACCCACGCTCAATGGAGCCATCACAAGATACACTGACTTAATGGGTTTTCGGAGCTCACAAAGGGCAGAGAAAAGAGAATCAGCAGGACCCAGCAGAGGGGGGCAGGGCACCACTGCCGGCTGCTGTAAGGACACAGTCAAGGCAGGCTGCAGAACTCAGGAGTTGGAGTAATCTGACTTTGGGGTCCCCTCTTCTCTCCTGCCGGAGCTACTCTAGACCAGGGTTTCTCACCTCAGCACTACCAACATTCGGGCCTGGATAATTCTTTGAGGTAGGAGGGTGTCCTATATACTGCAGGATGTTTATCATTATCCCTGTCCTCTACCCACGAGATGCCAGTAGCATCCCCATCCAGTGTGACAATCAATAATGTCTCTAGACAGTGCCACATGTCCCCAGGAGGAGGTCGGGGAAGGAGACAGAATTCGCTGGTTGAGAACCGCTGCTTTAGACTGAAATGCTCAGCTAAGTAGGTAAGCTTCTAAGGCAGGGCTGCTCTTGGCTACTAGGCAGACATTTAGTTGTTAAATGGCTTTTTAATTTATGCATTAAACAAAATGGGTAAACTTAATGTTAGATACCAAAAAAAGAAAAGAAAAGAAAGGAGAGAGAGAAAGAAAGGACAAAAGAAAGAAGGCAGGAAGGGGGGGGAGGGAGGGAGGGAGGGAGGGAGGGAAAGAGGGAGGAGAAAAAAAGAGGAAGACGCAGTCCTGGCCTCAAGGAACTTAGGTCTAATAGGGGCAGCAGGACACAAGCATAAATAGTGATATTTTAGGAGAGAGAGTGAGAAGTCGCACAAGAGGTCCAGTGAAAGCCGGAGAGAAGTTGCGAGGAGAGTGCGGGGTAGGGGTCTCTTTGGGGAGGCCCGGAGGGACAGAGGGAGGATGGCTGGTCATGAGCTGTGGAGGGGAGGAGGGGAGTCCATGTGATGTCCCTACTTGATTTGGAATGTTCTCCCTCCTTTTCTTTTTTTTTTTTTTGAGGTACGCGGGCCTCTCACTGTTGTGGCCTCTCCCGTTGCAGAGCACAGGCTCCGGACGCGCAGGCTCAGCAGCCATGGCTCACGGGCCCAGCCGCTCCGCAGCATGTGGGATCTTCCCAGACCGGGGCACAAACCCGTGTCCCCTGCATCGGCAGGCGGACTCTCAACCACTGCACCACCAGGGAAGCCCCTCCCTCCCTTTCTGAGCCCACCTCCTCAGCTGTCTGAGTTAAGAATAGTAAACAAGAACCAGTATTTATGGGGCACTTCATG